TCTCTCCATTTTCACTCTTTCTTTCTTTCTTTCTTTTTTTCACCAAATCCCCCATTTCCATTCATCTTCTTCGTTGGAACGGCAGTGGTGAACTAGATTTTTTTTTCAGGTATAATCAACTTCCATTTCTCTCTCTCTTTTTTTTTTCAAATTCCATTGGGTTTTAAGTGGTATTGATGCATTGATTTCTAGAATAATGAATTTGTAAGAATTTAAATTTTGATCTGTAGTTTGTTTTGCCTTTCATTGTTATTTATCTTGTTTAATAGACAATGCTCATTTGTGGATTTGTTTGCTATTTTTCAAGTTTGGTAAAAAAAAGTGTCGTAGTTTGTGACATGTCTTTGCTGAGTAGTGAAGGTCCAACGGTTCTTGAAGTAGGTAAAGACTCACATCAACTGAATTTTGTAAATGATGCATTGTTAGTATGCCCTTATGAATGCTATAGAATATTTTGAACTACTATTGATATTCCAATTAATTGCTTAGAATTCAGCCCATATAAATTTTAGTTACTATTCTTATCTTTATAGTTAAAACACTTGAACATAATTCTAATATTTATATGTTTTGATTTGCAGGCTCAACCAATATGTTAAGTGGATTTGCATTGGAAGATGTGACGCATTATTAGAGAATTTGATTATTTTTTTAAGTTCTTTATTATTTGTATGTCAATTGGATTTTGTATTTGAACAATGTCTTTTGGATATTTTAATATATAATATTTGAATTAATATATTTCATTTAAAATTGATTTTTATCAAATGGTTTTGCTATATTAAATAAGTATGAAAATGCTAAATCAATAAACAATTCAGGTACCACAAAAATACTGTAATTAAGCGGGTATATGAATTTTTTTTGAAAAAAAATAGGTTTATGCTAGTGGTCATGTCCGTCGGCTTAGCTATCAACCTGGTATAAATAAAAATGAAAAAGAAAAGATCTAAGTGGCAGTCATGCAACCGTCGGTTTAGCCACAAACAACACCTAAGGCGGCAGTCATTTAACACCTAAGCTGGTAGTTCGGACCTCCACCTAAGAACATGAAGGATTTTGACAAAAATCTAAGGTGGCGGTCTTTTGGTATCTAAAACGGCGATCAAAACCACTACCTAATTAATGCTAAGCCAGTGACTAGGTAAGACCACCACTTCCGAGCATTTTAAACCGTCTTCAACCGGCCATATAAGGCAGCGGTCTTTTGCATCTAAGCTGGCAGTCCTAATCTAAGGCAGCGGCTTTTATAAGGGGGTGGACGCTTGACCACGACCTTAGATCTAAGGCGGCGCTTTTTTCTTGTAGTGTAGGAGAGAGATTCTATGAATACTTTTAGATAGTTGGGTTGGGAATGGTGATATAGCTTAATGGGAGTGGTGGAAAGGGGAGAGGAGAGAGTCAAGGAGAACGGAGGGTGGGGGTAATGGAGCAAGGAGAGGCATGTCGACATGGGGACCCATGCGTTGCACAAGATTTGTTAAGTGAAAGCTAAACAATAGAAACACATAAGAGTATACAATTTTTTTATATTTTTTATTTTTTAAATAATTAATTAATTTCAGCTAAGGTTGTTCATCAAATTAATGAAACCCACCAACACGACCCGAGATGGTCAATTTTCTAGTATTTCCGGTCAGCTTTGGTTCAATAATTTCCTAACTTGACCAGGTTGGATTAGTTTCGCTTTCGCCATTTGTAAATTGACAAAAATTGAACGACCCGGCCATATATATATTAATGTTTTATATTTTTAATATAATTTTTAATATGAGAAAGTAGAAAAATTCCATTATTTCTTAGTCTAAAATATTTTAAATCATAAAATTTATTTTTTAATAATGTCGCTGTAATTTTTAAATTTAAATTTATTTTTTTATGTTTAAATACTTTGAACCGACTAACTAAATCGAAAGTCGAACTAAATCGGTACAACCTATAGGGATGGCAATTTCCCTAGTAAAATCAAGGCCCCCCACCCCGTATGGGCCAGGTTTTCCCTGACTATAAACAAGGATGGGATGGGGCGGGGAAAATAGTTTTTTCCCCAACCAGAGATGGGGCAGGGATGGATTTTGTATATAATTCCCTGAACCTAAAAGTAAATTAATTAAATATACCTAGGTTTAAAATATCTCTAAGTTTTCCCTAAATTCTTAAAATCTTAGAATCCCATAATTCTATTTTTAAACTACACCCAAAGTATCATAATTCAATTTCTAAAATACCTCCAAATTCCCATAATCCTATTTATAAATTATCCACAAAATAGATAATTTTTATGTGTTTGCCTTAAAGCATGGAAAATTCGGGGATTCTCTATCCCTGACAAGGAGTGGGTGCCTTGCTCCGAACCTTCCCCGCCATTGGGGACAGCTGGAAGGGGCAAAGTATCTTGACTAAGGGGCGGGGATGGGAAGGGGGGTGCCCTGCCCGTTGCCATTCCTACAGCCCGAGTTGGCCTATTTTCACTAATGGTAAGTCGGTTTTGGGTAACCAATTCCCTAACTTGACCATGTCGATTTGGTTGGCTAAACAACCTACAACCAAACTAAACCAACCCATGAACACTCCTAGTTTCAACTAAATTAATAGTCTAATCTCCAATAAATAACAATAGTCTAATCTCTAAAGTAATTGTCCATTGATTTATTTTGAATAAAAATAAAAGCATGCCCGTGAATTGGTGAACTGCTGTGAACATGCCCAACTCAGAAACTCTCTCAACAACAAGGGCTGCTAGCCCCCAACAGCCAAAGTTAACCCATCATTCTCTAGTTTAATATTGAAAACAGCATGTTCCACACAGGAAAAATTGTGGGAACATGAATGACCCATATACCACACGGATAGGTTGACCTGTTTTCTTCGTCCTTTTCACCCGAACATCAAAATGGTCATGTGTGATCCATTTCACCTCTTCCTCTATTTATTCTCCCTTTTACTGTAACCTGTCAATCCTTCTGAACTTCCGATATTTTCTTGTCTTTCTGTCATTTCCAACAATTTATCTTGTTTCTTAGGGTGCGTTTGGTAGAGGTGTAAATGAGAATCGGGGTAAACTTTATACCCCGGTTCGATTTTGTAGGCATTTGGTAGAGGTGTTGATATACTTCATCAATGGGTGTAAAAGTCCATTCTTGTCAGTATATTCATTGAAAATCAATGGAAAGTTTACATCGATAAAACTAATGTAAAACTTTACCTTCCTCTTCCTCTGTCCAACGGTTACATTGCATCTCCTCTATCCAACGGTTGCATCTCTTTGTTCGGTCAAAGAAGAGAGCGAACTAGTGTGACGGCGGCAACGTATTAGTGAGCAGTGGCGTATCAGCAAATGGTGAGCGTATCAGTGAGCGGTGAGTGGCGGTGATGTATCAGAGTTTGATCAAAGAAGAGAGTGAACCAGCTCTGGCATATCAGTGAACAGCGATCGGCGTATTAGTACAAATCATGCAATCCTCCTCACCGATAAACAGATTAGGATTTGACATTATCAGTTAGCGGTGAGCGGTGAGCGGCGAGTGGCATATTAGAGTTCTGTCCAGACCCAATTCTGGCGTATCAGAGTTCCGGTGGCGGCAAGCGGCGTATCAGCATAAATCCTTCCGGTGTACACATTGAAGCACTACGTAAAAAACAAGCATGATTGGTGTAAATTTTCAAAATCAACTGGTCTCAATTTTCATCGATCACTAAACCGATTCACATTTTTCCCTAGTATAAAATTTAAATTTACACCTCAAACAAATGTATCTTTATTCATAATTATAGTGGCCATTAACAAATCGATTAAAAGCCTACACAAAAGTTTTGTTACTCTCAGCTGGATATGATGCATAAACTAATGCCCTCACACCCCACTATTGATGCTTCTTTACGAAAATATAGAAAAATGGATCCAATTGATCCCACTCACAGGGAATCAAATCCAACAAATTTTATACAGCGCTTACATTTTGATACAACAGTTAAAAATAAAATGACTCACCATTCAGTTCCTCCGCTTCCCTGTGCGCCTAATGTTTTAAAAGCATAAGTAGAGAAAAAAAAAGCAAAGGAATATTTTGCGGCACAAGACAATGTATTAAAAAAGATATTAATTAAAAATATAAACTTAAATTTAAAAATAAAATTAATCATAACATATAAAACATATTGAGAATGTACTTACTCTTTTCCTAATTGCGTTACTTCAAATAATAATATTAAACACTACATATTCCTAATTTTACAAATCGCTTTTGTATCAAGTCCCTCTGGCAAGTCCAAACAAATCTAAGGGTCTTAAATTCTTATTCCGTATAGAAGAGATTTTATAATTGATTCAATTTGCTCCGCAAAACCTAAGCTATTTAATGTAAATAGGCTGTTCACCATATCCGATATTTGCATTAGAAAAATGAGGACCAGAGAATATCCCTTGCTCAAGTTTGAGACGTTGATATTTGACTGGGTGTGTTCTTTAAGATCCTATTTTTATTTTATTTTTTAATTGGAGTTGAAGGACTCTTGAATATCCAATATGTGTGAGGAGGAGAATGAGATCCTTTTTGCTTGTCTTTCTCGTAGGGGTAGTTTGGTTATAAAATATTTGATCGTCTCCATCGATGGGCAAATTTGGGATTTTCACATGTTTTAAACTATGATACCAGCAATTTCTCTCAGGGTTTTAACGTCACACCAATGGAAGGGATCGAAATTACATTTATCCAAAGTCACGGTAGGTTTTTAGGAAGGTCAAAGTTCAAAGGAGTTTAAGGTATTGTCAGAAAAAGGCAGGGGAAGTTTAAGGCTGTGCACTCAACTTCTACGTGCCCGTCGAGATTATCGGCTTCGGTCAGGGCAAAGCTTCCCGCTTTTCCCGATCTCCTGTGAGTATGCTTTTGTTTCTTTAATCAAAAGTTGAAAAATCAAAACAAGAAAGAAGTATTCTTATGTTTGGGTCATGTGCCATGAAGTTACTACTCCTTTTCCTTCCTTGTCTATTTCTCTTTCAAATGCCCACTCGAGCTCAAGACCCCATCCTTGACTCCTGCTACGGCTCGGAAAATTACACCTCCGGAAGCCAATTCGAGAAAAATCTGGTGAACCTCCTCCTTCCTTCCCTAGTCTCCAGTGGCTCCCGCAATGGCTTCTTCAACACTAGTGCTGGCGACAACCCCGACATGGTTTATGGACTTGTTCAGTGCAGAGGCGATATCTCCATGGATGACTGCCAGAACTGCTTATACAACTCGAGCATACAAATCGTCCAGAGATGCTCAAATACGAAGGACGCGTTCATCTGTTACGATAACTGCGTCTTACGCTACTCCAACCTCAACTTCTTTTCCCTGTACAAAGCTAGTCCTGTAGGATATCTTTGGAATGACACCAGTGCATCCAATACGGATGTTTTGGATAAAGTAGAACTCTTGACCAGCCTTATAAATACGGCGTCCTCTAAGGCTTCCAGGTTCGCTACCGGGACGATCAACACCGACTTGACCGGCAAAAGCACTGTATATGGTTTGGTGCAGTGTACTCTGGATTTAACGGAGCTTGGCTGCTCCTCTTGTCTCCAGCAGATGATTAACTTGATCCCTTCCTGCTGTAGTGGCAAAATAGGAGCCCATATATTTTCTGCGAGTTGTAACGTAAGATATGAGACTTACCCATTCTTTGACTTAAAGTCGCTGCCACCATTGCCTCCTCCACCACCGATTGAAGCAGATCCTCCGTCTAAAGATGGGTCAGGTGACGGTAATATTTTTCCGTCTTTGGTTTTCCTTTCCTTGAATTAGCCTTTTGTTATTGTTTTCCTTCTGTCATTGTTTTTATTATTTTGCCTCTATTTTAGTACTCGAAATTCAATGAATCTTTTGCTATTGTTTCGTCTCTTAAAGAAACAAATCTCCGTATCCCGTAGGTAGGTACCTCTTCCCGGAGAAAAATGGCTTTCTAGTTTCTACATTCGTTGCCCACCCCATTTCACTTTCCAATTATCAGAACTAGCAACTCAGAGTTCAGTGATTCTTTCAATTGGATAAAATATTCGGCAACAGGGGAGTGTTGCTCTGTCTCCTACTAATAGGGGAGCTAAAGAATCTTAACTCCCCAGGAAAGGATAAATCCCAAGCTGGAAAAGAACAAAACAATTACAATTGAGCCCAGAACCCAGAAATCCTATTGACTCCTTGCCTAGCCAGACCATCAGCAGACGAGTTTGCACTTCTCTTAACCCAATTACACTGAACTTCCATATTCTTGGACAACCATTTGAATTTTCTCTTCTCATTATTGTAACTCCAGAACTTAGAATTGTCTTCTTTCAACTAGTTAACTACCACCATAGAATCTCCCTCTACAATCAGCTTCTTGACCTTTAGGTCTTTAGCCCTTTGTACCTCTTCCAAAGCATAAAAGTAAAGGAGAGTTTGAAGACTATTTCTTCTATGAAGAAAAGGGAGTTGTTTATAAGATTACCCTGAAACGAACAGTTGTTGAAAATGCAGTCGTTTGGTATTAACATTTTGTGTCGTGTTTATCTTCAAGATTCAATTATCGTCGGCAAATGTTCTTTCTTTAATGTTTTTTTTCCCTATCAATGCAGGAAAAGGGAAAAGGATATCAGCTGGAACTTTTGTTGCAATTGTTGTTTCAATTGCTATTGCAGTGTTGCTATTGTCAGTTCTAAGGTGGTGTTGGCGGAGTAGAAAAAAAGAGGAAACAATCAATGGTAAGAGATAAGTCTTTTATTTACTCTTGGTAAACTTCATTTGCCATTTGAGATTCAATACTTCAGGCTAGGTAGGCATAATCATAGCTCCATGGACGCCTGTAATTTCAATTGTTTGATAAAATAAATAACCCATGTTCAATAATTACAAGTTCATTTTAACATATTACACTTTCCTCTTCACATTTGTCTAGATGGGAATGATATTACAAATGTGGAGTCGTTGCAATTTAATTTCAGTATAGTCATAGCAGCTACAAACAACTTCTCTGATGACAACAAAATTGGTCAAGGTGGATTCGGTTGTGTTTACAAGGTAATGAGATTAAACATAGAGTAAACATGTGAGTATAGTTTTACACATAGAGTAAACATGTGAGTATAGTCATAGGTGAGTAGCTGTTTATGATGAATTATATATATTGCCAGGGTATACTTTCCAATGGACAAGAAATTGCTGTGAAAAGGCTCTCTAGAAGCTCTAGACAAGGTGCAGAAGAATTTAAGAATGAGGCTGTATTAGTTGCAAAGCTTCAACACAGGAATCTTGTTAGGCTATTGGGATTTTGCTTAGAAGGAGAAGAGAAGATACTTATCTATGAATTCGTCCCCAACAAAAGCCTTGATTACCTTCTATTCGGTTTGTTCTTTAATCTTTCGAGAACCCCACTCACGCTTTCTGACCTACTGCTGTTCTGTTCTCTAATGCTCTGTGGATTTTGGAAAATAGTATTTTCTAAGCTTTGTGCTTTAAAATTTTTCTTAATAGATTTAAACATTTAGAATGGTGGTAAAACAATTCTCTATCTATTCAAATCCTATATCCTAAATTCCTAACTTGTTTTGGATATTGTACAGATCCAGATGGAAGTGAATGTTTGGATTGGCCAACACGTTACAAGATTATAGTGGGCATAGCTCGAGGGCTTCTTTATCTTCATGAAGATTCTCAGCTCAGGATTATTCATCGAGATCTTAAAGCTAGCAACATCTTGTTAGATGGTAATATGGACCCCAAAATATCTGATTTTGGGATGGCAAGAATTTTTTGTGTGGATCAAAATCAAGCCAATACAAACAGAGTGGTTGGGACATTGTAAGCCTTCACTATTGAATCCTTTGTATATGAGGGTTATAACTTATAAGACAATATGTATACTTTAGTGGTAGAATGATTTGGATATGGAGAGACCTGATCTCAACTATACTTAAGTTCAGACCAGTTGGATTATGAAATGCAGACCCCTATTTAAGCTATAAATTATTTCTTCAAATTCAGTAGGAATAAAACATTATTAGTTTTAGTGTCATGACTTAAAGTGCATTCCCATTTATAATTCTTTACAGTGGTTATATGTCTCCGGAATATGTGATGCGTGGACAATTCTCCGTTAAATCTGATGTCTACAGCTTTGGTGTGTTGCTTCTAGAGATTATTACTGGCAAGAAGAACAATTCTTTCTATCGAGCAGAGTCTGCAGAGTATCTTCTAAGCTTTGTAAGTGTGAATCCTTAATTTCATGTACTTATCTTTTCTTTGGTATGACAATAGATTGCTATTATTTACAATAGAAAGAAGTCAGAATTACCAGAACGTCAATTTGTTGTCCAATTCACAATGCACCCAGAAGTAAACTGAGTACTTGCATATTGATGAACTGTTGTAGGCCTGGAGAAATTGGAAGGAAGGAAAAGCTTTAGAGTTGCTGGATCCAATTTTAAGAGAGTTCTACTCAAGAGATGAAGTGATGAGATGCATTCATATTGGGTTATTGTGTGTTCAGGATAATGTAGCTCGGAGACCCACCATGGAAACAGTAGTTCTCATGCTGAGTAGTTATTCTGTCACTCTTGAAGTGCCTCAACCACCAGCGTTTTTGGGATACAGAAAAATGGAGCCAAAGAAACCCACGAGGGAGATTGAAGAACAATCAACAGAATCAGATCGATCTACAAGTAGATCACTAGCGGGGTCTATCAATGATGTAACAATTACAGAATTAGACCCCAGGTAGAGTTATAGCATGGTATCAAGAATACAAAAGAAGACTTTTCTTGATTTGCAAATCTAGTTCTATTTGTGTACTATTAAAGTGCTTTCGAAGGAGAGCAATATACTGAAATAAGTAAATTAATTTGTTTTTGACAGAAAGAAAGGATAACAACAGAAAAAAACAATGATGAAAAAGAAGCATAGGCTCTGTTTGGATAGACTTATGCTTTTATGTTTTTTAAAGTCCCAAAACAGAAGCCTAATTGTGGGCTTTTACTATGTACTTTAGGCTCAGTTTGGAAAGAGTACAAATACATAGAAAATAATACAAGGTTTTTCACTCCACATATTTGCATTTGTACTCCTTCCAAACTGAGCCTTTGTGTGTGAAATGGGTTTGGTAGAATGTGCTTTCATGGCATTCTTTTTGCAATAGAAAGCAAAAACATGCTTTTTTTTATAAGAAATAAAATTAGCCATCAAAAGAGAATGGATTATACAAAGATAGGCCCAAAAAAGGGGGAGGAGAATACCACACTCTTTCACTAAAATGTTTAGCTTTAATAACAAGATAGTGAGCCAAACTATTTACAGATCTATTCACAAACAAAAAGGAAATTGAAGAGAATGAAGATAAAAGAGTTCCAATGTCATCCAAAGTAGTAAAAGAAGACCAAGCAAAAGAAGAGGGAAGTCCATTTAAAGGAGAAACAGAAAGTAAGGAGTCTGAGATAACAGCCAACGAAGATAGCCCTAGCACTTGACGGCAAAAAGTTTTTCCTCGATCAGCCCAGCAGAGACTATAAACTTTCCTCCTACAGGGAAAAGAAAATTACCGTTAGTTTCATCAAATGCCACACAACCATAGGAGCCTATAGAACAATTTAAACACCCTCCATCACAAAACACAACAAAGGAATGAGAGCACCAATTCTTGTCAAAGGAAAAAACAGAAGCTAGGCAGGGATCAATCTTCACACCGATCCAAAGAAAAACAATCCATCACATAAGATTTAAGCCGTGAAACAAAGTTAGCAAGATAAACATACTCCCCATTAAATAAGATAGAATTGTGAAATAACCATATATTATAACACCTAGCCATATAAGAAACTTGTCATGATACTCCTAGCAGTCCAAGCTCGATAACAAGGATAAAATAACATCAATTAAATCCCTAGATTGAACATTCTCTAACCTGAGACCCCAAGGAGAGGCACTCTAGACAGCTCTAGCACTGGGGCAACCAAGAAACAAATGACAAATAGTTTTTTCCTCTGCAATTCGTAATAGAAGAAATATAAATAAAACCCCTAACTGCCCTCCAGTGGAACAATTTATAATGAAACAAAGCTTTCAATTTCCAAATCTTAGAGAGAAGGCCCTTCACATTTTGAGGAAGAACAGAACCCCACCTAGCTTATAGATAACCTTCTTAATAGAAAGATTTGTAGAGGAAGAAACTTTCCAAAGGAAGGGTAAACAATCCATGGATTTAAAGATATGAGTATTGATAATAGCTTCTGCCCATGCTTCCCCAAACATATTTCTAACTTTATTCACATCCCAAACATTATTTGCACCCACCAAAACCTAGAAGGAATAATCTTTACAATTTTCTATAGGAGGGCTTATAAGGGCTGTAAAACTGTTACCTAACTGGATCTGGAGAACATTCCAGATATTCATATTAAAGTCTACTTTAACCAAGCCCCCAACTCTAACTAAAGCTTCTTCAAAGGGAAAAACTTTGGCTATTGGTAAAAAAAAAAAAAATAGCCTGGGCTGTTCTGGGAGCCTGTCACAATGAGTGTGGGTAAAATAGTATTTACACTCAATACATTTTTAATTGAAAAGACAAATGAGAACCAGAATTAGCCAAGGTGTCATGTGTGGAGGCTCCCAAAACAGCCCAGGCTGTTTATTCCAAACAGCCAAAATGGTTTCAGGCACAAATAGATCTCTAAACCATAGAGGCCCTAAATTTAATTCTAAAAGGGAATAGGTTATTAGTCTCCAACTACTTGGCTTTTAACAGTTGAACCCAAAAGGCTGAACTGTGATTAAAAAAAGCCAAGCTAATTTTGATTGAATTATTGAAAGGCTTTATTCAACTAAACTGCTTTTCTAATTCCCAATCCATCCTTAGCTTTGGGGGAACACAGAGCATTCCAATTACACCATTTCAAGCCCCTAGCATTATTAGCAGAACTCCACTAAAAGTGCATTGGATAGAGTCAATTTCCTTATTTATTGATGCTGGCAACTGAACCATAGACATCACAGGGGGGAATACCTTGAAGAACAATCTTTAACCAAGTAGTTTACCAGCTTGGGATAAATTAGCTGCCCTCCAACCATTTAGTTTATTCCTCAAGTCCTCTAAGATAAAAGCCAAAGAACGGGCCTTGTTCTAGGCCTAGAAGGGGGGAACACCTAGATACTTAGATTGACAGGTCAAATTTCCCATACACAACAACCTTTTCAACAATTTTTCCTCTTTGTGACTAGCCAACTTTACTGCAAAATATGCCAAATTTAGAACACTTTCTTAGTTCAACAGACATATTTTGAAAATTCTCAACAATATCAAAAAAATTTGCCACATCCACTCTAAAGGGCTTAAGAAAAATAAACACATTATCCACAAAAAAAAAACAAATGATTTATAGAAAGAGCCTCTCAAGAGATTTTAATACCATGAATTAGATTCATTTATTTAGTTTTACCCTACAACTAAGAGAGATCTTTCATAGATAAGGAGAAAGAGAATACCCTTGCCATAGAACCCTAAAAAGAGACTAGGCATCATGAGGACAACCATTTACCAAGACAAAAAAAAGAAACAATAGAAATGCAAAAATAAATCATCTCACACTACTCATTATTGAACCCCAAGGCCTTCAAAACAATAGAACTCTGTTTTATTTCGATTTTTTAATAAAAAAGGTAAAATTAAGGACTTAACCTCATAAGGTAAAAAAAGCAACAACCACCAATCAACCGAACCAACCAACCAACGAATACAGATCACTAATGCAATAGGGTTTAAAAGCCAAAAATCAAAGACATTGGCAGGGAGAGGAAACATTAATGGACCAAGAATCCCAATACCTAGAATCTCTGAATTGAATGGATGAGAGATCCATCATATGGATGGCCGAACCATGCAGGAAGGTTTGGAAAATTTTCAAAAATTTCTCTCTCTCCCATGTGGGAATCACATTCCGTATTTTAAAAAACTGTATTTTCAATGATCAATCTTAAAACAAACCAGACCAGATCTGAAACCAAAAGGATAGGAGAGGGATATACCTGATATGGAGTAACAGTAACTCCCAATGAAGGTGTTCACGCCCAAGGAGAAAACCAAAGACTGCTTCCACCAAAGATGACACGGTGTGAGGTGAAGCAGAATCGGCATGACGGTTCTTCAGCAAGAACCGAATTCTTCAACAAGAATATGATGGAGGGCTGATGAGCACGACTTCAGATTGTCTCTTCTAGCAAAAGACAATATCAAGAACCGTTCTAAATCACTCCTACTGGTGGAGATCGAACTGGGTAGGGCGGCAAGAGCAGGAAAGAACAAGAGCAGAAGACAGGAGCAGTCAAATTGTATGTTGTCTTCTTTCTCAATTCAGTAGACGATGAGATGTGTTTGAGGTCCGCTCTGCTCTCCTATTTATAGCCTTAAAGAGAGGTTCTCCTAATCCCATTAGGAGTTTCCTAATCCAAATCTTATATTTGGATATGCACTCTCTTTAAGAAATAAGGATAACCCCTTATCTTATCTTCAGATAAAGATCAGCCATCCTAATCCAATTAGGAGTTTCTTGATCCAAATCTTTATTTGGACCTAGACTCTTTGAGTGGATAGGGATAATCCCTTATCCTATCAACTGATTCAAATCCCATAACCGCCCCTTATTTAATTAATCTTATTAAGCCAGTTCGAATGGGCTTTAGGCCCATTAAGTCTATGTGCTCACTAGCCCTCTTAACCTGCTGCCTACTTGGCTATCCTTGTATGGCGTGGGACCCAAACATTGATGTACACATCAGCCACATGGGTTTAGCCCAACCTTTATTACAAGGCCTGGCCAAATTCACTGTAGGAGATAGTGAACCTCTRAGTCCATCACCATGGGCTCTTAATGGGCCCAACATTTACACTAAATGGTCCTTGGGTCCAGTCACCTTATGAAAACCCAAGGACTGTGGGAAGATGCAAGATTAGCCCATCAAGTATTACCCTTAATGGTCTTATACATAACCTCTCAGCCCATAATGATCAAACACTGCCCGACAATAGAGGACCTCTCCCTCGGCTGCAAGGTGCAGTGTCGCATTCCCTACTCACATGGATCCCGGGAATTAAAACCATTTGCAAACATTTTGAAACCATAATATATATATATATATATTATGTATGTGTGTGTGTATATCTTTATATAAATATATTTTGCAAAACAATTTTCAACAGTTGAAATCAAATGCCAGCAGTTTAAGTTTCCATCAAAGAGAGTGCATCCCCGATCATTCACTTTGTCCGACAAAGGGGCTGATCCTATCACTATGATCACCCACTCAGATGAATTCTCGGACTGTCCCAACATACCTAGGTTTTGATCCCCTCTAAGGATCTCACTGATTGGCATATCAAAGACATCCCAATCCAACACCTAGTATAGTATCATAATCGAGTCTAGGGGTCAGGTGTAACATTCCAGTTTTGCCCATCTATCTCCAAGGTCTAGGGCAATACTAGAATTTTGGTCCGGTTCAGGGTTTCAAGAAAACCCACACTGCATATACCTTAGGTCTCACCTTGGCAGCTGAGACAAGCCACCCCAACCAACTTGGCGGTACATCAGTGTCAGCCTTGGCAGGATAAATCTCCCTAGATCTATCCAATGGTTGTGAAGATTCTAAACTAACACAAGTCTCATTAAGTGTCCAATTTAAGGGTATTACATAGAAACACATCATAATGACATGAATCAATTATGTACTTTATTCATTTACAATAAATGTTAAAAAGGTAATCAATTTGATTGGAGCTAAAGGGCATAACTGTCTAACATCTCCCACTTGCACTTAGGTCCAATCGGGTATAAGTCGGAGTCCCATACTTTCCACGTGTTTCTC